CCAATGTGCGCCACGGCGCGGGCTTGGTCTGGGTATTGGTTGCGGGAGTCTCTGCAGTTGCGGGAAGCGCATCCTCCCAGTCCATTTCATCTTCGTCGTCATCTTCCGAGACGTTTGCTTGCGCCTCATGTTTTCCCGCAGCGCGAGTCTTCCCTGATGTGAGTGGGACGTCTTCGAAATCGTCGTCGCTTTGCAGATCACTGAGCTCACTGCTCTCGTCATCGCTGCCGAGTCCGTTGAGAAAGGCGTGATCTTCCGCGTTGGCGGTTATTTGCGAAGTCGCGTCTATTGCGTCAAAGACGGTGGATTTGGAGCGTTTACTCGAGCGAGTGGCGGTCGGTGCAGCAGGCGAACGCGAGCGCTTGCGAGGGACGTGGGGAGGCATAATTGAACCCTCATAATACACCAACAATGTTAGAAGGGAAAAGGACGAAGTCAAGGAGGGATCGTAGAGCTTCCTGCGATGTACAAGGTACTGACATGGATGCTCCGTCGATCAATCTGATGTAATGCAAGCCGGCAAAACCTCGGTTGACGGCCCATCGCCGTCATCGAGTGCCGAAAGCTCGTTGGGCAAACCATCGCGTGTGAAGATTCACTGCATCTATCTCCGCCACGCCACCTTTACCTCGTTTTTATTTTCTCCAGAGGCGAAGGAGGCGCGCATCTTTTTCATTGCCCATCTCTTCCACTTCACCCTCAGCGCCACGCTTTCCAGCCTTCATTCTCGCGCAGCTCTACGCCGCCTTTCCCGACAGCTCAGCACGATATGCTTTACGGTCAAAACCTGCCCTGGCGGGCGGCATTGCGGCAAGCCTCTCGCTCGGGTAATGGCTTGAACAGAGTCACAGCTTCAAATCTCTCCGCGGTGACTCGATCCTACCAGACCGCCTTCCCCCAAGCAACTCTGCTTCCCTCGAGATCCTCCCGCTCGACCCCCTCCGCAATTTCGCGTCGCCACTTTTCCATCACTCCGACAAGGCGAAAGGAGAAGCCTCCTGGCAAGACTCCGGAGGAAGAGACTGAGCAGAAAGATGAAAAGGAAAATGCGGAGGAGGAACGGCCCGCCGAGGCCGAAACCGGAGAGGAGGCGAAAGTCAAGTCTCCAACACCAATATCATCCAAGGGCGGGTCAGATGGACGCGGAGCTGCTGGAGCGTCTTCAGGAAGCACGCCACCCTCAAATGGCGAAGGTGGTGGTAAGAAGCGCAAGTCGGAGCGGTCACTGCAGAAGCCCTCTGTACCAGAGGTGTACCCGCAGCTCATGGCCATTCCAATCGGCAAACGCCCGCTGTTTCCTGGTTTCTACAAGGCCATCACTATTCGCAATGAGCACGTCGCCAATGCAATAACCGAAATGATGCAGCGCGGGCAGCCCTACATTGGTGCTTTCTTGCTCAAGGATGATGAAGCGGACAAGGACATTATCGAGAGCCCGGAAGATATTCATGAGGTCGGCACATTCTGCCAGATTACGAGCGCTTTCCCTGTGCAGGGCGAGGAAAACAGCATGACAGCTGTCCTCTATCCTCACCGCCGCATCAAAATGACTTCCCTCGTGCCACCCAAGCCTGAGCAGGGAGAGCCTGTCAGCAAAGTCGAGGCAGCTCCCGCCGCCGCCCCCGAGTCTGAATCTACAAATAAGGAAACACAGGAGAAGAAGGGAGATGTGGTTGCGAGCTTCGAAGAGAATGCTCCGGATCAGACGAAGCAATCGGCGCATTACGAGCCGACGTCCTTCTTGAAGAAATACCCGGTCAGCTTGGTCAACGTGGAGAACCTCACGGAGGAGCCATTCGACAAGAAGAACCCAACGATTCGCGCCCTTGTTGGCGAAATGGTCAACACCTTCAAGGAAGTCGCAGCTATCAACCACCTATTCCGCGATCAGATCTCCACGTTTTCGATGAGCCAGGGGGCTGGAAATGTTGGCGACGATCCAGCCAAGTTGGCTGACTTTGCCGCGGCCGTTGCTCAGGGCGAATCCACGGAACTCCAAGCTGCACTATCTTCGCTGAATATTGAAGATCGGTTGCACAAGGCATTGCTTGTCCTGAAGAAGGAACAGATGAATGCCAAACTGCAAGACAAGATTCTCAAGGACGTCGAGAAGAAGATTACAAAGAAGCAGAGGGAATACTGGCTCATGGAGCAGATGAGGGGAATCAGGCGAGAGCTGGGCCTCGAGACTGATGGCAAAGACAAGCTCGTCGAGAAATTCAAGGACAAGGCCTCGAAGCTCGCGATGCCCGAGGCGGTGAAGAAGGTCTTTGACGAGGAAGTCAACAAGCTTGCGCATCTCGAGCCCGCGGCGTCCGAGTTCAACGTGACAAGAAACTACCTCGACTGGCTTACGCAGATTCCATGGGGCCAGCGCTCTGCTGAGAACTTTGGCATCAAGAATGCCATGCAGGTGCTTGACGAGGACCACCACGGTCTGAAAGACGTCAAGGACCGCATCCTGGAGTTCATCGCCGTCGGCAAACTCAGGGGCACCGTCGAAGGAAAGATTCTTTGCATGGTTGGCCCGCCGGGTGTTGGCAAGACGAGTATCGGCAAGTCCATTGCGCGCGCGCTGAACAGACAATACTACAGGTTTAGTGTCGGTGGTCTCACAGACGTTGCGGAAATCAAGGGGCATAGGAGGACGTACGTTGGTGCTCTCCCTGGTCGCATAATCCAGGCGCTCAAGAAGTGTCAAACGGAGAATCCTCTGGTACTCATCGACGAGGTTGACAAGATCGGCCGCGGTCATCAGGGCGATCCCTCTTCGGCACTGCTTGAGTTGCTCGACCCTGAACAGAACAACTCTTTCTTGGACCACTACATGGACGTTCCAGTCGATCTGTCCAAGGTTCTTTTTGTCTGCACAGCCAACATGACAGATACTATCCCTCGGCCCCTCCTTGATCGTATGGAGGTCATTGAGCTGTCAGGTTACGTCTCGGATGAGAAGATGGCAATTGCCCAGCGCTATCTCTCGCCGGCGGCAAAGGAGTTGAGCGGCTTGAAGGACGTGGACGTCAAGCTCGAGGCTGAAGCCATCTCCGAGTTGATCAACAAGTACTGCCGGGAATCTGGTGTGCGAAACCTCAAGAAGCAGATTGAAAAAGTCTACCGGAAGTCTGCTCTCAAGATCATCCAAGACTTGGGCGAGGACGTGCTCTCGGAAGACAAGGCTCTGACCGAAGAGGGCAAGGCCGCACAGGAAGAAGCCAGCAAGGACCAGTCGGACGTAAAAGATACGCCAGAGAACATTGAAAAGGAGACCACCGAAACTCCTCGTGTGGCAATGAAGGTGCCGGATTCTGTCCATGTGAGCATCGGCAAGGATAACCTCAAGGACTACGTTGGCCCGCCAGTCTTCACCTCGGACCGTCTGTACGACAAGACGCCACCTGGTGTTGCCATGGGACTTGCGTGGACTTCGATGGGCGGAGCGGCATTGTACGTCGAGTCCATCCTCGAGACCGCTCTGTCACACTCGTCGCGGCCCGGCTTCGAGCGCACTGGCAACCTGAAGGACGTCATGAGGGAATCTACGGTAATTGCGTACGCCTTCGCAAAGTCTGTTATGACACGTCAGTTCCCGGACAATAGTTTCTTTGAAAAGGCCAGGATCCACATGCATTGCCCTGAAGGTGCAGTGCCGAAGGACGGGCCCAGCGCGGGCATCACCATGGCGACGTCGCTCCTGTCTCTTGCGCTCGACCACCCCTTGGACCCCACCATCGCCATGACTGGTGAGCTGACGGTCACGGGCAAGGTCCTCCGTATCGGCGGACTGAGGGAGAAGACTGTAGCAGCGAGAAGGGCCGGCGCGCAGATGATCATCTTCCCCGAGGACAACTTGAGCGATTGGTTGGAGCTTCCTGAGGTACGTTTGCTGCACGCCACTCTTGTTGGTGGCACACTCGATGAGAAGTTGAAATGCTGACTTTCTTTTGCAGAACATCAAGGAGGGCATCGAGGGCAAGCCGGTTGGATGGTACTCGGAAGTCTTCGACACGGTCTTCAAGGGAATCGACCGCAAGCGCGCCGGCAAGCTCTGGAAAAAGGAGCTCGCCGAGCCCAAGAAGGACAAGTCTTCATCAGACCACCACGATGACGACTAAACAAGCCGCATCTTTCCGTCGTTTGTTCTGATTTATGTTTGGCCATCTGCGCTTTCCTGGACCTTTGTGTGGCAGGCCTTTTTAATTCCTGCGTCAGTCGTCCCTCTCGCGCTGCCGGCTGTTGATGTATGCACCCCCAACTGCCATGTTACTTTTTTCGTCTTTAGTTTTGAGCATTCCACACATAGAGGGCGCACTTGCTTGGGTCGGGCTGCCGTCGTCGTCGTCGTTGTTGTTGTTGTTGGGGCGCTTTCTTTGCCGCTTTGCGCATTCTGTTTTCGGACACGATTAGACTTCGTGTTTTCGCCTCCTTGACACACAACTCGTGTCTAGAGGGTCTTATCGAACAACTGAAAGAGGAAGGGCCAGATGGGAAGAAGAAGAAAAAAAGACGTGGATGGAATAGCACGAGTAAGATAGATGAAGAGCAGAGCAGGGCAGAGCAGCAAGAGAGGCTGTAGAGATGGGGCCGCGAGTAACATTCTCCACTCTACCAACCTACCTACACATGTACCCACCTACCTTTTCCAACCGATCTAGGTGTTGGGTTTCTGGTTTCCACGTCCCTGGTCATGATCTTTCGATGCTGCTTCCTGCCTCGTCGACGGTTGTGGGCGACGCTCAGAGTAGGCAGACAAAGCGTATGTATGTATCCATGTGTGGGTGTGAACAGTCCTCGTCGATCCGCTCCGTCTCTCAGTATGTCGTGGACCCCTCTCCCCTTCTCCTGCACACCTCTTTGGAAGTCGACGTCTCCCATCCCGCGAGCCACTCCCGTCGTCCCATCATACCGCCCCCTTTTCCCATTTTGCCCCGCCCCCTTGCGCCACACAATCTCGCCTGAACATACATAACCGCACAACCCCCCAAAGAAATTTTCATCAAGCGGGGTTGGTGTAGTTGGTCATCACGTCAGTCTAACAAAATCTCCTCTTCTTCATTTCACAATGTGATGTGGAGCACCCGACGAGTCTTGTTGTGCACTGAAGGTCCCGAGTTCAAGTCTCGGATCCCGTATGTTGCTTTTTGCTTTTGCTTTTGCTTTTGCTGCCCTTTTTCCTCTCAAGAGAGGAGGAGATGGGGCAAGCCTTTTTCGGTCTTCGCTTTTGTCCTTTTTCGCTTCTGGTGGGGAGCGAGCGAGCGAGCGAGCGGGGACCGCAAGGGGGTGTGTGTGAGAGGAGGAGAAAGGGGCGGCAGGGGGCGTGTGCGTTGCTTCCGGTCGTTGGCGAGATTGTGCCGGGCGGTGGTGGGGCAAAGTGACGGGAGCGAGGTGGGGCGACCTGATGGACGGGAATGGCTTGTTGTGTTCCGCGTGTCTGGTGCGCGGGACTGTTTGTTTGGTTGAAGGCAGGGGTTGGGTCTTGGGGGGGTGGGGAGTCAAGAACTCAAGGTCTGTGTGAACACCTAGGTACAAAGCGGGGTGGGTGAGAAGAGATGAAAATTAACAGACGAGATGGTTGGATCTGGGACGCATATTTTTTTTTTACTTAAGTCTTAATTCTGAGATGGAAAATGCTGCCACTGCATATTTTCTCCGCCTCGCCTCAAACTCCCCCTGATGGAAAAAGACACCGAGATGCTTCATGCGACCGCCCTCCCTCTGACAACTCCCCCAACCAGAAACCACACGCCTATTGCACGCCCAACGCCTGTCTTAAACTCGCTCCAAACACGTCGGCATCAACACCACGTCCAATAAGCACAATCTTGCCACCTCCCGTCGTCTTCTGTCCACCACCATCGGCAGCCCCGGGGCTGTCTTTTGCATCCAAAATTTCAAACACCTCACGGACACCCTGAATCAGCTTGAGCGCTGAGCCGTCGGCCATGGGCACGCGGCCCTTGGTGCGGTGGATTTCGAACTTGGGGGAGTGGTAAGAGCTGTCGTTGGGAGAGGGAGCCGGCAGCGTCTCGTCCCAAAGCACGGCTTGCAGCCAGGCATCGAGAGCGTCAAGGCCGGCGGGCGAGAGCGGGGGGATGGGGATGGTGATTGTGGAGATGGTCTGGCGAATGTGGTCAGAGGTCGAAATTCTTTTTGGTAGTCATGAAAGGGAAACGCACCGGATCAAGATGGCTATGCCCCTTTGCGGCAAAGTCGAGCTCCTCCGCACCGACGGCGTCGTACGCGTGCAGATCGAGCAGCACGCCTTCCAGCTGCGGCACCTGGCTGTGGTTCGTAACGTGGACTCTCGCCAGGGCATTGATGGCTTGAATCCGCGCCTTGACGTCTTCCAGCTCCTGCGGCGTAACAAGGTCGCTCTTGTTGATAACCACAACATCCGCATGCGAGATTTGCAAATGCGCAGTCGTGAGCTCCGGCCCTTGGTGCTCGTGGTCATGCTCGGTAGAGGTCGGTGGTCGCTCGTTCAGGCTCTTGAGGATGTTTTTGGCGTCAACCAACGTGACGATGCCGTCGAGGTAGATGGTGCTGCCCAGGCCCTCGTCGACCCAGAACAGCGGCGCAATGTTGCCCGGGTCGGCGAGGCCCGTCGTCTCGAGCAGAATGTAGTCAAAAGCGCCGCGGCGCTCCATGAGCGACTCGATGGCGGTTACGCCCGCATCTTTGACTGTGCAGCACAGGCAGCCGTTGGCCAGATCAAGCCATTCTTGGGCTTGGGTTCCCTCTTGGGAGACGGTAAGCGTCTTTTCAATGTCGGCAGCTAGGCGTGGTGGTTAGTATTGAAAAGTCATCCGGGGCCGCAGGAAGCATTACAGTCTCCGAATTCTGGATTGGGTCGTCAGTGGGATTTGGCTTGGCGACGTTCGAAGGGGGTATACAAGCCATTGAGGATGACGGCAATCTTCTTGCCGTGGCGCTCGTTGAGAATGTAATTCAACAGGGTCGTCTTGCCGGCGCCAAGATAGCCTGGGCATTCGGATCAGTTCGGTTTCATTGTCTTGTTGGCATGGACGGACGGGGTAGCAGTGCGCGGAAATTGGAAGCGGGGAACGGCTAGTCGGTCAGACTCGACGGCCGATTGATTGCAAAGCCGCACGACTAGTGGTGCAGTACAGGCCATGCGGGAGGTGTTTGCCGAAAAGATGCAAAGATGGACATGGCGAGAAAAGCGTACCAGTGACAATGGTAATGGGGACTTTGACAAGGGACAGGTCTTGTACGTCGGAAGCCAGATTTGCGTCGCCAGGAGTTGCTGGAGCGCCAGGTTGGGTGGCGTCGACCAGAAGCGGAGGAGCGTCATCTTCATCAAAATCCATGTTGTTGTTGAATGGCGGTAAAGAGGTGGGTGTTGTGGAGAAGCAGGAATGGATGTTTCCGTGAACAATGATGTCGTGGTTGGAGCTGCCGAGAAATCTCTTATCGATTAGACAAATTCCGGGAATTTGATTGGCGCGCGGGCCGTCTGGCGTCACATTTGCCGACGCGCGTGCAGCTGAAACGGGACGCGCCCCAGATTAGGGTGCGCATCATGTCAGGCACGAAACCACAAGACTGACAGGCTCCCTGAAGCCAACTTGACTTCTACCCTCTCCCCTCACCTCGTCACTCGTTTTCCAATCCACCAACTACCAATTCTCTCGACGTCCACCATATTACTACCGCCATGCCGTCCCCAATCGTCAACGCTACCTTCCAGGCAGCAATGCTGTCCTCCATCTCCAACATCCTCGCCCAAATCATTGACGCATACAAGGGCAACGTATGCCGCTCTCCGCCTCCCACAGCTCGACAATCACCAAGCTAATCCGCTTTCCAACAGCGGCCCTTTGCCTTCAACATTGTCGAATTCCTGCGCTTTGTCGTCCTGACCTTCATCACCGCCCCGCCAAACTACCACTGGCAAGGCTTCCTCGAGCGCACATTCCCCGCATACGCTCCCTCGGGCAAGAATGCCTACAGAGCCACCGAGCTCGCCGACCGCGACGTCGAGGCCGGCGAGCCAAAGGGCTCCCACGACGAAGGCGGCTACGTCTACGCCGAAGAGAAGGAGAAGCCTAAGCTCAATTGGAAAAACACCATGACCAAGTGGTTCATTGACTGCATCACCATGGGCGCCATCATGAACACGGTCGCCTTCTTGGTTCTCATGGGCATCATGAAGGGTCAGTCCGGCGCTCAGATTGGCAACAACATCCGAACCGTGAGTAGCCTGCTAGAGCCACCTTGCGCCATCGCGGCAATCCATCTATTTCAGGACACTGACACTAGCCGCGCAGGAAACCATCCCCATCATCGTCGCCGGCTACAAGGTCTGGCCCTTTGCTTCCATCATCAACTTCACCCTCATCCCCGTCGAGCGCCGCATCGTCTTCCTCAGCGCCGTCGGTCTCTGCTGGGGCATCTACATGTCGCTCGTCGCCGCGCGCGTCTAACCGCGCCTACACCTTCCTCTTTCTTTCTGGCTTCTCCCGGATCCGCAAGCTTCCTTTCGAACTTTTTTTTTTAACGACCATCCCCGTCCGCTGTAACCACGCCCGGCCCTACCCTACCGCCGGCTACCGCTGCCAAACAGAGCAGCAGGAACACCGCCGCTGGCGCCCGGCGCCCACGTTTAGACTTTTGACTTTCGACGCTTTAGAACCTTAAATTCTGCCCGGGGGCCGCCGTACCGTGTAGGTTCGGCCCGAACATGCCTTGTCTCTTTTCGGCCTTGGGATTCTTCGTCTTCCAACTCTATCCACAACAACCGGGGAACAATTTGAGCTCCTTTGTATTTTTCGGGGAACGGTCTGGCTTTCGACGGCGTTTGAGGATTAGCGACGGGAATGAACTATGGTATAAGACCCACCAACCGTACCGCGGGACGGACAGGACACATGACAGAAGCGCTTTTCAGAGCATTTCAGGGACTTTTTGCAGGGTTTCGTTTTGGCCGCCACTACTACGGCAGTCTGGGTTCCGCGGGGACCAGCAGCGTGCGTTTTACCGCATCTGCAAGGGAAAGCGCCAAAAATTGTGTCGGTTTTTTGATTCTGCGCCACGCAGCAACATTTTGGGAAGGTCACGATAGTGGTCCTCCAAAGCAAGCCTGCGATGTCTCCTTTCTTTTTTCGGGTCAGGAGGAATAGTTTTTCGCTGACCGCTTTACATAGAGTTGGGGCAGAGCAAAAGCGCAACGCCAACAACATCAATGACATACGCACATGGCAAGAGCTACGTCGTCGTTTTCGAAAAACTTTAGCGCAGCTTTATACATAAGTGATGAGAGGGAGGGTTCCGACGTGGTGGTGTTGGTGATCCTTGCCTTTGCACACCACCAGGTAGCTCGAAGGCCACCACCACCAACCACTTCTAGGTCCCAGCTCCCCCTGCTCATCATCACCACCTCTACCACGACCCGCGTGGGATGGCCATCGATCGCACCATCAGTGCGTGAGTGCTCATCCGTCGCACATCCGCACATCTACCGCGCGGGTAGGCAGATCGGGGTGGTCCGGTGGTCCCCCCTCCCCCTTTCACCACCACACCGGCCACCGCACACACGTCTCCAGAAACCTGGTACTGAGGCTGCCTGTGCTTTGCAGCAGCAGCAGCAGCAGCAGCAGCAGCAGCGGTCTGTGGTGGTGATCTGAGGGGTTGACGGGGCGGGTGATGAGTTGGCGCTGTGGGATCGTCGGCGCGATGATGTCACTGCTCTGCTTCACTGCCTCACTGCTTCACTGCTTCACTGCTTCGCTGCCTCCTTGGGTAAGAACGCGGCGCGTCGCGTCGCGTCGCGTCGCTTTATGGCGATTGATGTGCCTGTCTACCTGACTCGCTGGACTGGTCAGACCTCGACTCTTCCCTCTGGATGGCAGCTGGGGTAGGGGGTGGTGGTGGTGGTGGTGATGGGTGGTCGAAAAGTTTGCGCAGGCGCCCGCCGGCCAGCTCGTTTACAGCGAGCAATCGGAGGACTTATTCTTCGCAAAGCTTTCGGTATATTAGGGAGCGCCGCTCCATCGCTTTGGAGTCGAGGCGAAGATGCGTGCGGAGTCTCCTTGCTGGCTTGCAGCGTCGCGTGCGGCGAGTGACGAGTGGATGGATATGGAGATGAAGATGAAGATGAAGATGGAGTCGT